CCCCAAAACCCCAAAACCCCAAAACCCCAAAACCCCTCTGAAAGCTTTATATTGAAATATTTTGCAAAGATTATAAATATAATACAATGAGCGTTAAACTAACCAATCCAGAAACTGATGGGAATGGAAATACCAAGAGAAAGGGTATCAAGGACAAAGTTAAGCTAGCCATGGATAGTTTCAATCAATATGAAGATACCAGTGAAGATTGTGGAGATAATAGCACCAAATGAGGCTCTGTTTATACCAATAAAGCCACATTCAACAAAATGATTGATGTGAGGCAGAAGGAAGATGATACAGACAAATTTCAGATTAATTTGATCAATTTGTCTCCTAGAACCACTGAAGATAACGAATTCTCCTTTGACACCTCACAGCTGCAGAAGCTTAAGAATGGCTTGGCTAAGAGTAAGACGAGTTAGTGGTTAGCTTAGGTCCTTTGCAGGCATAATTTGTGTAGGATTGCCTACATTCTTCACAAAATTTTAATTCCTAAAATTTCCAAAATCAACCAGATTCGTCTAAAAGATCTCTGCTAATCTTGTTTATAGACAATAATGTTAGAAGAAGACAGTGACCAAAGAAGAATTCGTACGTTTCAAATGATAAAGGTAAATTTTTAGGAAAAGTTAATTTTCTTTGGTCATTTCTAACTGAAATCATAGATCGTGCCTATCACAAAGACTTTCTGATAGCTGAAGGCTCGTTTGGAAAAGTTTACCAAGTCACCAAACACGATAATGGTAAAAAATATGCAATGAAAGTACTCAACTCCTATTTTCTTAAAAAGGTAAACTACGGCGCACTAATGATGTAGTATAATAAAAGTCATGAAGCATACGTTGAAAGACATGTCCTTTCCACATGCAAGCATCCCAACATTGTGAAATTCAGTAAATGTCATAAGGCAGGAGAGTCCTTGTGCTTCATTTTGGAACTTTGTGAAAATGGGTCATTGAATGACTATCTTGAGAGAGAGCATTCAGTCAACCACAAAATTATCAAATTCTTTGCTGCAAGCATACTCAACGGAATTGAGTACTTACACAGCAAAGATATTGCTCACAGAGATCTGAAGCCCAGTAATATCTTGCTTGATGAAAATCTTAATGTAAAGATTACGGACTTCGGAACAGCCAAAATATTTAACTGCGAAGATGAGCGTGTAACAAGTGCTCTACATAAAAGAGCAAAGAGAGAAGAGTCAAGGTCTGCTTCTCCAGTGAAGAAACACAGCTTTGTAGGTACAAACGAGTACCTTTCTCCTGAAGTTCTTCGTGGTCATGCTCCTTCCTGAGCAATTGACCTCTGGAGTTTTGGGATTATCTTATACAAAATGTATGCTGGTGAAACACCTTTCTTGGCAAATAATGAGATGGAAACTTATGAAAACATTATCAGTGGTAAAATTTCAAGGGTTAACTCTATCCCTGAAGATGCTTGGGATCTTATTAGGTCTCTTTTGAAGACAGATCCAAGAAAGCGTCTAGGTTGCTCAGATATTATCAATAACATAAATTTTAATGTGATTAAATCTCACCCATATTTTGAGAAAGTTAATTTCGATGATTTGAAGTTGAATTTTTCAGAAGAAGAAAAATGATTTCCTCAGAGCTCCTCAGATTCTGAAAACTCAGAGGTGAATCCGAGCACAAGGCCAACTGTGAAATCTTTTGCTGTACCATGACAAATAGATGAGGAAGATGAAGAAGAATTCTATTGTAACCGCTTTGACGACACAGCCGATGACACTGATAGCCCAAAAAATTACGAAAATGTCAATTCCGTCCCAAGTCTTGACAATTCTCCTATCGATATCTCATCGATGATCCAGGAGGATCATTTTGGGCATAGACAGCGAAAGCAGTCTATGAGGCTTCAGGTGAATCCTTGACGAGTTCCTATCCTTTTCGATGAAGAATCAGACGTTGAGTTCTCTTCATCATTGAGTTCAAAGAGCTCAATGATCCTATCCAAGAAATTCTCTAGATAGGTCTGGTTCTAGACCAAATGAGGACCGGAAGTCTTTCTTTCAATTAATTTTTGTAAAATATTCATGAAAACGTAGTAAATTTTTGTTTGGGGTCTGCTCACAAGCTTCTTTTGATAGCTGTCTTAAGTCAGCCATCTTTGGGAAATTAAGGAATTTAATTAAATTAGAAGATTTCGGCAGAAAAATATAAGGATTTTTCCATGAATCTAAGATTCTTGAAAAATTTCTCCTTGATGAAATTTTAAGGAAATGTAAGAGACTATTGACAGCAAAATTATTCTTCTGGAACCAATTTCAGCTTCTATTTTGAAATTTTGTTACTAGATATGTTGATGAGTTGCAAAGATTTTATTGGGAATCTGTTTCTCGGTTGTTTCCACATGAAAAATGGATCATTTTCTGATATTAGAGTTGAAATAAGTTAGTCAATAACTGTAGACTATGTTAAAACTAATAGTTCCTTGCTAAAGCAGCTCTCTTTTGTCATTTAAACTAAAATTTTAAGAGAAGGGTTAAGAGTTGATCACAAATTTCACCGAGATTACACAAAATTTTGTTTGAAAATGTGTATCCTAAATTTTATCGAATATAAAGAAGATCTGGTGGCCTCAAAAGTTATAATCAAAATTATACTTATTTTCAGGATTCCTTTATCATTAGCGATGTCTTTAACGAGAGCCTTAAAATAGTCCTTCCTAATTTTCGCTCAAAATATTTCGACTACGACAGTGGTTTTGGCTATAAATTTTGTTAAGTTCTAACTCCATCTAATCGATTTTTTACCAAATTGCTAAAAGATTCATCCTTTAAAGTAGGCAGCAATCTAAACCCGTGCTCATTGAGGAGTAATTTCAGGTATGAAATGCCAAACAGGTGGAAGATTTTGCACAATTTTGGAGTGTTTAAAGGGTCATATTCTAAGCTAAGATTTCAACATTTCACCCCTTCCCCCTGCCTTTGGCTAAATTAGAGTAAATTAGGCAGGAAGTAATGTAGTGAATCTACAGCTTTGCTATGTAAGCACGGTATTTGTTGGCTTATTGGAAAATCGACCCCTTCAGGTTCTATTTCCAAATGAAAGTATCAAATTTTATGCTAACTTCAGACCTACTTTCCTTTAGTTTGCGGTGTACACGTTACCAAGAGAAAGCCTCACAGCTGGATAGTTAGCCTCTTCAGGCAGTTTTACCAAAAAAATCTTAATTTGGCTGTAAAATTTCTAAGTTTCACTTTAGAATTAAGGAAGATTTTCAGATTTTATCTTGAAGTTAAGTGGGCTGCTGATATTTCTAAGCAAGCGACCACTCTAGACATATTTTCTCGAAGATTTCTCAATTTGAAAATTAAAACAAGGGGTTTTGGGGTTTTGGGGTTTTGGGGTTTTGGGGTTTTGGGGTTTTG